TCATGTAAAAGATTTTTAAGCAAACTCAAAGTTACTTAGAGTAATATTTGTATAAAAAGTATTTTCTTGGGGATAATTAAATTATACTTTCATCACTTGAGAATTCCACTAATCTTACAACAGAGGCACACACAGAAAATGTGCAGGGGAAAGCATGTCCCAGAACTCCTGTGTGAGAGGAAGCAGCTCTTGGGTATAACTTCATTGTTCTGAGTAGAGAGGGGAGGAGAAAGGAACTGTTCATTAAATCTGGTCAAAATCCATATGCAACCTTGCATAATTGAGCCCTTGTGTTCTGATTTGTAAGCAGCTTTGCGGCCCTGCAGCAGCCTCCCTTTGTCTCCTGTGAAACTTCAACCACTGGTTATCTCTCCTGGCTGCTGTCACTAGTTAACAGGAGAAAGGGAAAAGGTGCTGGCTGGGATAGTGCTGACTCTGCTTCTGGAGACTGAAAAAGGAATGTGAAGGTAGTAACTTCCAAGAAGAGTTATCTGATTCCTGATAACTCCTGCTTTTGCCCTCATGTTATGAATAAGATCATTTTTTACATTTATTTTTTGAGCTACTAGGACAGTGCTCTACAGGGGTGTCTAAGGGGGGCAGGTGAAGGTAGGGCTGAAGGAAGATGGAGGACAGCCCTGAACTAAGTGGCCTGCAGTCCTGTTGCACAAGAGCTGCTGACTTCAGGTGCTGTTATTGAAAGGTGAGCGTTGCCCTTAACACATGTAACATATAAACAACTGAACCAAACTAATACCTCATTGGCTTTTATTCTCCAGGCTGAATACAGTCTGTGTAGTAGCTTGAGGGGAGCTGCATAGAATTACACCAGCAATAGACTTGCCTCAATCTTTTTGTAATATAGCAGGCCCTGCTACTGTCTCCTAGCACCTTTCTGGCAATAGTGAGTATGAGATAGGCTTGTCTGACAGCACAGAGATGTCTGGTTCTCCTGTGATGGCTCTGTTCAGAGGGGGAACCTGCTGCCTTTGCTCCTGGGAGGCTTATATTAAGTTGTCTTTCTCTGTCCTTGTTGTAGCACTATGTGGTATTTGACAGAAAGTGCAGTCTCCGAGCTGTCCCACCACTAAGGCTAGCGGCCTGACCAGCTGCTTTGTTACTCAATATTCATCATTATAGCTCCTATCTGCAGCATATGCCCTTACAGCACCTACAGGTATTACTTCTGCAAGCTGGCTCGCTCGCAAAGCAGCCCAGCTTGTTGCGCTGGCTGCTGAAGATGGGCCAAGCTGCAGAGAAGGGCTTTGAGGAGCTCCACGCAGGAGGTGTCATGCACATGCAGACTTTCAAGGCATTGTTCACGTGCAGACTTCCAAAACATGCTTGGAGAGTGTGTGGAAGTGAGTGTTTCAGAAAAAGTTGCTTCCTAAACCCTTAAAAATTCTCGGTTTTCCCATTCCACTATTAACCTGCCTGCCATTCCAATCTGCCCTGCCACGTGAGATGGATTAAGCTGCAAGAAACCGAGCAGAAGTACAAAGTTCTCTGTTACTTGTTGCTTTTAGCAATATAATACCTGTTGTTCAAAAAGATACAAGGATCAGTGCTAGTTTAATTACTGACTACCTTGTTTGACCAAAGGATTTTTTTCCTTCACCTCTTTCTGCTTAAATATCTGGCAGGCAGGTCTATGCTGTGACTCTGCAGTCTTGTCACTGTGTGTGCATTGGAACAAACTCCTGCTTTGTGGGAAGAGGTGGACTCTCTGGGAATTGAGGATCATCCATGTGTGAGGCTGTGATTGCTGGTCTTGATGAAATGGGAATGATGGGATTTTTAGGTAGGCGGGTGAGATATCCTGAGTTTATGTGGCTCTCGCCCTCCTTTATGCAGTCCCTCTGGGACCAGGCTTTGTTAATTATCTACAGACAACATATAGAGTCTTCAAATTCATAAAAATCATAGCTCGAAAAGTCAGCACTCCGTCTGCTACGTGAGTGTCAAGGATATCATTAGAGTAGGGGCTGCAGCTCAGAGGTACCCGAGCTCCCCAGCACCACTGAGCTTATCCACAAACCACGTAGGTTCTGTGCCGTCCTGTCTGCCCCGGTCAGGTGTTGGGTGGCCGTGTGCCACCAAGGAGCAGAAGTGCCCCATGATTTTTGTGAAATGGGCAGCGTACAGGGAGAAAATGAATATTGTTTCTGAAGTAGCCTTGCGGTTTTGTTTACTACACTTCTAAGTCAATAAGGTGCTTTGGCTCATTCAGTCCCTTAGATTTGTGAATGGGCTCCATAATATTCAAGAGACTGCTTGAGAAATATGTATCTGGCTGAATCAGACTTAGTCCATCTGGAGCCTGAAAAGAATATTTGAAACATTCTGGGCAATTCAGCCTGAGAATCTGTTGAAATTAGCATGGAATATATATTTATTATTTGTACACTGCTTTGAGAACCTGCCCGACTGTCAGTATTTAACGTACTCCTGAACAATTGGGCAATAATGGAGCTGTCTGGATAGTATAATTATTATATAGTCATCATCATCTTGATCAATTCCAGTATTTCCCTCCTCTCCTTCGTCGTCTTTCCCCGCAACTGCAAAGCTCCCCTATCTCATGGGAATTAAAGTAGCTTCTGTCCAAAGAGCATTTGCAGTTCTAAATCAGGTTTCTTGTGTTCCCCCGTGCCAGCATGTGTTACATCACATGGCTACTGGTTCTGAAGGATGCGGATCACATACCTTCAATTTCCAGCTATCCACCAGAAGAAATCCCTAGACTTATAGTGTTGGTTTTTGTTGTGGTAAATTTCCCAGGTTGGAAAAGCTGCAATGTGCTGCATATACTGCAAAACAACGCAGTCCTAATCTTTCCTTTTTTATTTTCTCCTGGACCCTTCATGATCTTCCACTTGTCCAAATAAAATTCATATCTGTCTGTCTTTAAATCACCTGCTCAGATTTTTATAATTAACTTCTAGTGAGCATTTGACAGTCTTCCTTTGTTTTCTTCCCATAGGCCTGAAAGATTTTTTTTTAATATTCTTTAAAGGGAAGCTCATGATTACACCATTTGCCGTGATCATAGATGATTAATGTGAAAGTAACCAAGTCATAAACTGTGCTTTAGCAAAACATAATTATACATATAAACTAATTAGCTTTGCAGCGCTACACATCTGTAACGGGAGGCAGGGTTGGACTGAAGCCTCTGCCCTTGTACCGTGTTATCCACAAAACTGCCACAGCAGAAATACCCAGCTGTCAGTGGCAAGTGCTTGGACTGAGTGTTGCTTTTGCTCTCCTCAAAGTCTGGGGTTCTCAAGGCCGGCCACTTAGTCTGGTGACAAGTGAATTTTTTGGAAGAGGAATAGACCATGATGGTGAAAATGCGGGCATGCCTCGCCGTCCTCTGCTGCTTGATACTAATGTCTTCTGTCCTTGTTTCTGGCAGGCGCGTGTGATGTTTAGGATTCTGACATTTTCTATCTCCTCTTCAGAGTTGTTATTTCTGAATACTGAGTTTTGCCCAAGTCCTGTAGCTCTGTGTGTTATTTGGAATGCTTTGCTTTGCCCAGCAATTCATAGCAGATGCTTTCTAGCGTAATAGCCAGTGATTAAAGGAGATTGTAGGATTTCTCTGTGGAAATTTCTGATCGTTTTCAGTTAGTTCTGAAATCTAGCGGTGGATAATATAACTAAACCTTACATTGCTTTCAATAAAATCAAAATACAATCAAAAGCCAACCTGGTGCATTTACGCAGCATTGTGCACTGGACTTGCCAGCTCCTGATCCCCTTGTTGCCTTGCATCACCCCATCTAATTAATTTCCAGAATGCATAATATTGATGTGTAAAAACATATGCAAAAGTGGGAAAATGCTCTTGGGTGAGCGTGCTGCTAAAGCAGATTATTTTCTAACAGTGCAACGTTGTGTAATGAGTGTTCCTTGGGAAGCCACGTACCAATGCAGACCGTAGAGTCTCAGTGATGCTGACATATAGTTAGCATCGCTGCACTGCTTCACAACAAGTACTTTTCACCCAAGATCATTTTCCTTAAGAAATTCAGCCTTGTATCATGTAAGTTAGCAGTCGGTAGAGGCAGAGGAACTGCTCCATCATAACATGGTCTCCTGAGAGTGGACCCTTAGGAGCTGTGATCATGATTGTTCAGCTCGTCAGCGCGGGAATAAGTTGCTGACAGGTTGTGGGTCTGTTGGATTTAGTGTTTTCTGTGTGGTGGGTATAAATATCCCCAGCTCTTCTCAGTCTTTCCTCCTCTGCTTTGTGGTATGTCCTTGAGTCTGTCAAGTGATGAGTCTGGTCCTCAAGACCATCTGTCTGAATAGGATTATTGCTCTTTTTGCGACAGATTAGCTAGCTCACAGGTTCATTTTCAAATCAAGGTTTATTTTACCTTTTGGCAATCAGTACAGGCCAGTTTACCTAAGTCATTTATAGCCAGAGTTGCAGAGCATGGGGTAACTGATATGTTTTAAAAAAACAGCATGTGTATGTAATTAATAATGGCTTTTAAATAATGAAGTAGGGTAAGGGATCCTCTTCAGTGGTTGTGGATCAAATAAACAGCTTCATCTTGGAGGCCTCGTGGTGTCAGTCTCGCGGATGAGGGCGGCCTGGGCCTTCCTCGGAGCTGGGGCGGATACAGGGATGCGCCTGGGCCGCCCTGCCCGGCCGCAGCGGCCTCCGCGCGCATCCCGAGCCGGCTCCGTCGCCATCGCGCCCGGGGTAATTACACATTCCTGCTGTTTTCCCTCCTCGTTACCACGGCAATGTGCGGGCACCCGTGGAGCAGGGCCTGGCTGGGCCCCTTCCCGCCCCGGCAGGCACCATGGCGACCGTGGGCGCCCGCACGGACACCAGAACCATGCCGAATTCCCGCTTTTCCGTGCGCAGGAGCTTCCTCTTCGTTCCACAGCTCCCGTAGGGCTCCACGGGCGCTGATGGGATGATGGCCACGGGGTTTTATCCCCCCTTCGTCCAGGCAGACCCCCGATGATTCTGCCAAACTTGTGTGCCCGGATGATACAGCAAAAGGGGGAGTGAAGACAAAACGTGTCCTCCACCGAGCTTCATAACTAAGCTGTTTAACGCACTGTGGCTCTGCCTCTCAGTGATTCATTTCTGGAAAGCTGTCGACAAGGCGTTCGGGTGAGCTCGAGTGAGCACGAGTTAATGGGCTGCATCTGGGTGGTAAGAAGCAGAGAGGCATTAGCAGGTTTGAAGCGAGGTAGGGGCTGCTCCTTTGGGCTCCAGCGAGTGCCAGGTAGTTTGTTTGCTGGAGCTGGTTTCATTAAACGAGGTGGCATTTTCCCCTCCCTTCATCCCTCCCTCCCTCCCCTGGTTAAACCGCAGGATTATTGCGAGGATTTTCCTCCGAGTGATCCGTGTTCTTAGCGCCAGGCATCACAAGCAGTTGCTGAAGGGAGCTGGCAGCAACGATGCTTCCCAGGAGCACAGTCAGCAGCATTAAAGCGAAATAAAGTAAATACGAGAGAGGTATTTTAAGCTGGCAAGCTGAGAAACGGCGTTTTTCATCCAACCAACGTAAGTGTCTGATTCGTGTGTGTTTGCTTGGACGCAATGAGCCTTTCAGGGATGTTTCCTAATGCATCCTGTATTCCGATAAACACGGAATCTGTTTCCTGGCGAGGGCTGTTTTTCTGTGTCTGTTTAAAGCTGGTTGCATGTGTGTGTGGACACAGGAACATCGTGTATACAGGATGAAAAATGTCCCTGTCCTGGCTGCGTGCGTGTAGCTGCCTGGAGCAGAACCCCCTGGTGCGCCTGCGGTTCGGTGTCTTCAGAGGGAACGCGGGTCACCTTGACAAGCCGGGGCACTCTCACATTTAAGATGACTGGCCTGGTTTTCATGGCTTGCTACAGCCTGAGTCAGCTCTTTGACATTTTTTTTGAACAAAAAAACAAATTATGCTTTTAAAATACGTTTTATTTAGTGCTGTTTATTTAGCTGTTTTCATGACCTCTTAGGAGACTGGGGTGGGTTGCTGAAGGAGTAAAATTTTAGAAGGAGTAATATTGAATTTAATTGGAAAAAAACTTCACTTAAAGGTATTTAGTAACACTTTAGTTCTTACAAAACTACTGAATGTGTGTGGAGCAGCTAATCTAAAAGGCACATCTGTATCATGACTTCTGATGTTTAACCCCTTGCAAACTGGACTGTCTGTTTTGATTTAGGGAATGTCAGAAAATGAACAGCCAAGTTTTGTATATATTGTTGCCATCTTCCTTTAGGAAAAAAATGGATTCAAAATATGCAGACAGAGAGATTATCATGCCTAATAGTAAAGATGATATACTGAAAATCATACAAATGTAATTTTGCTGTGTGAACTATTAAAAAATGAAAAAGTTTTTTTATGTCATACAGCAGATTAACTTAGTTATGTGTGTTTTGTTTCTTTAGAAAAAATACTGTTGAATGTACACTTTTTGAGATGTATTTATGCCAGTAAGAAAGGTATTTCTGACTTTGGGTCTTGTTTTTCTGCTAGCAGACGCTTCCTTAGCAGCTTCAGCAGTTCTTAAATAAAAGATGAGTTTCTGAAAAGTTTTGGTATCCTCTGAATCAATCCTAATGTGCCATAACTGCATCACTCCCACCTATAAATTCCCACCAATGAGAATAAATGGGAGTCTGGATGAGGAGTCAGTTGTTTATTGGAGAGATGGAAAACAGAGTGGTAGGGAGATGACTCCATATCCAAGCACCAACCCCCCCCCACACACAAAAGGGATTTTTTTATGAGATTAATTATCAACATCTGAGGAAGAGGATTCACAGACAAGATTGTAATGGCAATTATCTATCTAATTATGATTTTTTTTTTAACTTGGTGGAAGCTCTAGAGACACTGGTATAAACCAAAGGGAAGATGTACAAAGTCACCTCTGCTTTAGCTTTGCTGCTGATTCAGCTTTGAGTTAATTGTCTGGTTAGCCAGGTAGATATTGCTACGTCATGGTGGTTAGTGTACGCCGTGGATTTCCAAAACAGGTTACAAACTGTACAAAAACACGTACTTATTTTGTGCATTGCATCTTGCTGCCGTTTTCAAAACAGAGAGTGATTTGAGTGCCAGAGGAACGTGGAAGGAGAGAAGGCTGCAAAGAGCCAGTTTATTAGGGGGGACGTACACTATCATATGTAATAATGTTCTGCTGAGACATGAAAGACTCCCCATTCCTGCTCTGCTCAAGAGCCCTGTGTGTGTCAATAAATAAATAAGCAACCGTGAATAACAGAAACTTGAGCTTTACTTGTAGCTATGACAACTGTGTCCGTGACAACTTCAGTACAAATATGGAGATTCCAAATACATCCTGTTCCAGAAAGCTTGTAAGGTTATTAAATGGGCAAACCCAAGTGACAGCCTCTGAAATGTGGCCGTCGTCTTCTGGAAATCCCTTTTAGCGGTGGCTGCGTGTCCCCATTTGCACATCAGAATCACTTGCTGCTTCTCCGTGTTGCTTGGTGGCAAATGCTTTGGTGAGCTGTCCTCTCCAAGGACACACTTGCCGTTCGCGGGTAATGCGCCCTTTTCGCTCTGATTTGCCCTTGCTGTAGTTGTCTGCAATCTCTAAAAGTTCAAGAAATCTCAAGGAGTCTTTTTCCTAAGTGTAGGTTGTCCGATGGGAATCCAGCAGGCCTCATCTGCGGAGAAGGGCCCAGCTGCAGCAATCCTGATACAGACTTAACGGTATGGGCTGATTGTGACCACTTTTGCTTTTGAAGTTCAAGGCTGTGGCCTTCAGCTGGCCCAGTTGGGTGAGGAGCAGCTTGATTTTCTTTTCTGGATTGTCTCGTGCAATTATCACTTAACAGGACTTTCCTGCTCCCATTACAATTTCAGATAACCTTATCTCCAGATATCGCAGATATCCAGATTTCCTGCAAAAGCTTGTTGAAATAAGGAGCCTATTGTATTTCATTGTCCTCATTGTATTTCAAAGTCCTCAAACTTTGATAACTGCACAGGCGTAGCTGAACTCTTAACTCTGCTTTTGGGATCAAATGCATTGCAGTTGAATACATCAGCGTGTCTGTTCCTGAGGACTGGGTTTTTTGGGTTACTTTTAAAGTCACTAAAGTGATAAACTGAGGTTTCTGTTTCTACAGGCACTCTCCTAAAGTTGCTGGTTGGTTGGTTAGGTCATTCAGTTTCCTGCTTTGAGAGGGAAGGGAAGGTACTTAATGATTGTGGTGCATTTTTCAAACAGTATTTTTTATATAATGACTCTTATAGAATGATTTTATGTAATGACTCTTAATGTAAATATTATTATAAAAATAATCTTTTTATGTAGATACTGGGAAACCAGTAGCTTGGCTCATTCTCCCTTGCATGCAGAGTAAGTAAAGATAAGATAGTGTTTATGGTATGACAGGCTGGACTGTCTTCTCCCTCACCCATCCTCACAGTTGAGGTTTTTTTGGTGAAAATACAGGGCTATTCCTGCCTCTGGGATGTCCTTGAGCTACTTTTTTTGGGTAAAATACTTGTGGGGTATTGTTGTTGTTGCTATTTTTTAAAGATGGGGCTCTTCAACTCTCCCCTTGTGAGCCATGGCTGCAGGGCAGCGTCTGCTAGAAGATGGTGCGAATAGTAGGAAATGAGTAACAAGGGTTTTTCAGGAGGTTTTTCAGGGGATGCTAGGGCTTTGGCAACGTCATTGAGGCTGGAAAACACATTTCTCTTGTTCAGAAGCTGCAGTTGCATCTGCCCCTTTCTTCTTTATCAGCCTTTCTACCTTTTTTTCTCTCTTTCATGGCACTTTGTCTCTGCCTGGCTCACGTCTTATAGCCAGTGAGTGCATCTGAGATGGTCACCGTTCATGTGCCTTAATCTGTGACTCCCTTTTATTATTCCCTTTATTCTGGTCCCATTATCCAAGTGCTTTCCAGGCTCCCTCTTTTATATTCCCTAATATATTCTAGTCTGATCCCCTTTCAGAACCAGGGCTGTTGGCACAGGCCTGACCTGCAATCCTGGGAGCAGAGGAGGCTGGAAAGGAAAAACAAGAGCAAACAGCAGACAAACAGGGCACACAAGATTAACACTTTATCAAAGTGGCCTCTCTTTGTAACAGGGCTTTTTGCCTTGACATGTGATTACAATTGGGCTGCCATCCTAAGAAAATCACCTTTAATTTGAGAGGAAACAGGCTCCTCAGAGCTGTGCAGTTGCAGCGCAGCTACGTGGGCAGCGCTGTGCTGGGCAGCTCTGTGTTTCCATAAGGGAACCATCGCTCACAGCAGGTCTCAGGCTGCAGGTTCCGCCACAAAGAAGTGTGGAAAATGCACGATGGAAGCGTGGTGAGCTGTGAACTGCAGAGTGCTCTCAGCTTCGTGATAAATATTGTCCTTATAAACCATCTAAATGGGCTGACGGGAGGCCGGGGCAGCTGGGGTGCCAGGATGCTTCTTTGGGTTGGGCAGTATTTGGTTGTGGTGCTGCCCTTGGGCCACCGCTGGAAGTGGAGCAGGCGGCCGTGCTGTCCGTAATGGTGACCCTGCCAGCTCAGCGCCTGTCCCCATCCCTGGAGACCTTCACCCTGTGCATGAACCTCTGACCGTTCTCGCGCCAGGATGGATCGGGATTAATGGAGAGCTGGAGAGGTTTCCGTGTCGCAGCAGTCAGCGTGTAGCCCGATGGCTGCTGAGCCTCCTAGCAGAGCCGAGCGACTGAGAACAGGCAGGAGAATTCCCTCACCGAGCTGCCCGCCCCGATGCGTGCTGTGGAGATGTGTACAGCCCATGCCGCGGCTTCTGCGCCGCGTGATTGTTCCTCGCTAAATGGGTTTGAAGCAGCCGAGGGACACGGGAACGCGCCCCCATGAATTTCAAGCAGGATCTCGTGTCTTTGGCACCAGAAATCTGCAGTGCTGCCTCCTGTCCCCGCCTTGGAAGGCGTTCGTTCCGCTCCCGAGCTGGGCCTGGGATCTCTTTGCAGAGGCAGCTTCCTGCAGCTCCGCTCCGGAACACAGGCTCGATGCAGAATTAGCTGCTTCCAGGCAGGAGGGATTGCTGTTTCAGCTCTCGGTGCCTGTGTGGAGCACCCTGGATGTGGGAGGCCCTCACTGATAATTTGCTTTTTCCAGGAGTTCCCCCTCCAGGCACCTCTCCTTGTTGCCCCCTGAAAAACAGGGCCTGCGGGTACCTATGTTTGCAATAGGCTGCAGCTGCTGTTAATGAACAACTGCTGTCAGTGCAAGGAACTAATACTGCCTGTCAGAAATAATCACTCAGGACAGAATTTTAAGAGCTGTTTTTTTCTTTTTTTTTAATCTAATTTTCTACTCTTTGTGCATCAGGAAATCCACATATCTTCATATTTCACGTGCTCTGTAAATTGTTCCAAACTTCCTTCTTTGAAAATAATTTTCTGTGTCGGAAGAACGGCAAATACAGTTTAAGCCGCAAAGGAGCCGTGTGTTTGTGCAAAATTCCTGTGTGCAGCAGCGCCGTGGGGAGCCGCTTTGTGCAGCGGCGGCGGCGTGTGGCTCGGGCAGCTCCCGTCAGAGGGAAGATGCCCGGAGAAGAGTTTTGTCAATCTTGTTTTCTGCAGAAATCTCGCTGCTTTGAGGCCCGAGGTGGCGAGCGTTTAATCCCGAGTCAAACAATTGTATTTCAACGCACGCTTTGCAGTCTGATACGTCAAGCTGATGAGATATTTTGCCCAACGGATCAGAGACAGGAATTGGTTCTAAGTGGCGGCGTTTCCTGTGGTTTTGACACGTGCCCTGGAGCCAATTCTGGGTGGCTCCCAAGCTCTTCCACTGCTGGTGGCAACAAGAGGCCAGTGGGACTTGGTCAAGGAATAACAAAGTCAGAATGCAGTTGGTTTATTAGGATAATGAAATGGCCAATATATTGATCGTGCCAGCTGATCTTGTGTGGGAAGTTCTGTGCTCAGTGGGGATAGAAATGGAGCTGATTTTAGCTATACTCAAATCTGATGCTAGTTGATTTATTCAGACTGCAGGCTCGAAACTTTTGAGATGAGAAATACATAGGAAAATTAAGACTAAGCTGTTTTGTTGTTTAAACCCCTTGCAATAATTTGTTTTCTAGGAATATTTCAGAAAGCCAAAACCATATCAAAATATGAAGTTGAGCCTTTTATAAATACTATGTTTCACATTAAAGCCTTTTGTCCTGAGTGTGTTTTCACTGCCCCTTCTGCTTGTTTCTGCAGAGCCCTGTTCAAGTTAACTTTTAACGGGTTCCTAGAAACTTCTAAACAGTAATACCTTGCAGAGCAAACCTAAGGAGGGAATCGCAGTGCAGATAGAGAGCCCTGGGCAGGGGATGTGCTGGTGGTTAATGATTGTGAGAGGCGCTGGGCCCATCACTGTTGAGCGGCTGCTTGCGGCTCCTGTTTGCAGGATAATCCTGGGGTGAGAAAGCCTCTTCATGCTCCATTGTGCACAGGTTAGCACAGGAGAGGAGCCGAAAGTGAAAATATTAATGCATTAATTAGCCGAGTCGGAATTTATAACTCTCTTCTGTAAACAGTAACACCCCCTGCCATGCTTCTGACCCCAAACTTCCAAAGCTAATACTGCGTTTTCCAGAGCGTGCACCAATGTTGTGCAAGTGTTTGCTCACCTGGGCAGATTTCAAAATGCACCGAGTTTTAAATGGCACTCTGGCCAAACTGGGTGAAACCAAGGCTGGGTGGATACCTCTGACAAGGCCCCAGGAGTTTTCTTTGTACCAAGTAGTGCAGTCAGAGAATTAATAGGTAGCCGTGGGCAAGGAGTTTTTTATTTTGGCAGTTCTGAAAAAAAATCAAGCGTGAACAAAACAACTGCTGGCTCGGCTAAGGATAATATAGAAATTAAACATCTGAGCTATTGATGTTGGGGAAGAAATGCTTTCTCTCATGGCAGCAATAGATCAACTGCTTCCTAATGTCTAGTCATCAGCACCTGGTTGCATATTTGGGGGTGGAATAAGAGTGACGTGAGCAGTAAATGAGCTTTGTGTGGTGGAAGAGCACCTGTGTTCTCAGTGCATATTCACGCTTTGCTGCTGTTTGCCAGGAGGTTTGTGGATAATAGTGGTGTTTCATTTGAACTGTGGGCTGCAGCGTGTTATTAGGGAATAGCCTCCACCCTCTGAGGGAAGGAGAAGCCAGATGAGGAGCAAAACGGCTGCCTAGCTTAGTCTGCATCTGGACAAACAGCACCTCTGGTGTCCCAAGCAGAAGGCAGCATCCTAGGTTCGTAAGCATCAGATTTTAACCTACATATTGTATATTTAAATAACTGCTTTATCCGTGTACAGTTTCCAGCCAGGCTTTCTGTGCAGGTGATCCAGAGCAGAGAGTCACGCTGTAATTCAGGAACCTGGACGTGGCAAAGTTGTTTAGATGTAACGGGATGAGGTGGGGCTGGGTCCAGTTGGGTTTGGAGCTCCTGTGACTGCTCTAGGCAACCCCCCTTGGTGTTAGATCACCTACGCACTAAAAAAAGCTTTTGCTTATGTTTAAACACAACTTCTTGTATTTCAATTTGTGCCCTTTGCCTTTTGTCCTGTCACTGGATACCACTGAGAAGAGTCTGGGTTGGTCATCTCCTCCCATCAGATATTTATACGTCCTAATTAGTTGCCCCCCATCGAGCCATCTCCTCTTCAGGCTAAGCAATCCCAGCTCTCTCAGTCTCCATTCACAGAGCTGTGGATTACCCTGTGGAAAATGCAGGGGTTTGGAGTTCCTTCCTTCCTGCCTTCCTGCCTGCCTTCCTGCCTGCCTTCCTGCCTTCCTGCCTTCCTGCCTTCCTTCCTTCCTTCCTCCCTCCCTCCCTCCCTTTTCAGAGTGTTTTTTTCCTCTTACTTCCTATCATTAGCCCCACAGTCCTTTCACCTTGCATAATTTTCTTTTTGGTAAACTGTTTGCATCTAAAGGACACATTGACACGAGAAAGCGACTGGAAACAATTCATAAAATGTTAATTATAGCTACTCCAAAACACAGAGAACAAAGCGGAAAAGCAAGGGGAGTGGACAATGATCACATGGTGATCTTTACCTCTTGACCTCAGTAAGGCTGGGGGATACAGATTTAGCCAGGAAGTCACCTCAGCAGGATTTAGCTTCAAACTTTTTAGCTTCAAATTGTTTTTAATCCTGAGACTCCTTTGGTCATCAGCAGTAATCAATCCATCACACCATCTTCTCCATTTCGTTTTGTTTGAGTTAGTGAAAAGGGGAGTTGGAATCAATGGCATAGTAATGGTAGCTCCATCCATAAGCACATAAATGTTTTATTTTTGTTTTTTTCCAGAACATCATCTGGAAAGAAAACTCTGAAGACTCAGCAGTTTTGACAAAATGGCATCAATGCTGCTTAGTCGGCAGCTGGCCGGTTGTCTGCAGCAGAACTCGAGGCTGTTTGCAGTAGGTAAGTGCTCACTGTGTGCTAGCGAAGACTCCTGTGATTGTTGCTCCAATTGTCTGGTAGTACACAGAGTCTTCCAAATTTCCAAGACTCCAGTGTTCTACATCCAGAGTAATGAGGCACTGATAGTCCAGAACTAGCCCACAAGGATGCATCTTTTTCCTTTTTAACTCAGCAAGCTATGGGGGAATCCTCACTTGGGGGCTAGTTTATGCTGTAAAATGTTCTGAATGAAACAAAGCTCTTCCACCCTTGGAACTTTGCTTTTACACAGCTGTTTCCTGATGCTGCCTGAAAAACTCATCCATGAAAAGCAGCCTGATTATTCTTTGTACTTATACAGTGCAACTGTCCATCTCCAGGTAAAAATCCTGGGAGGTTTTATATAATGCACTGGAAGAGATGGCCCTGGTGGGTGTCCGTTCTATTTTTAAATAAAAATAAAACACCATAGAATATGAAGCTGCTTCCTCCTAAGTGTATAATGACAAGTTCTTGCTTGGCCCTGACTTGTAATTTTGCATGTTCATCTGCATATATGTTAAACCTGCAGTCTCTGCTCATACTCTTTAAGTGCGGAAAATTATGGCTTTTTTTTTTTCCTCCAAATAAGTTTAAAACTGGAGATGTAGCACCTGTTTTCTGCAGTGTTCTACTGAATGCAACATGCCTGCGTGGCTTTACTGTGAGCGGCTAAGTGGTGATGCCTCTTCCTTCCTCCTGCCTCCCTCCGTTACGCCGCTGTGCGGCTCCTGCTGGACAGGCAGCGAGCGTCTCCACTCGCCCAGGAACTTAAATATCATCGATTTAACTTAAATATCATTGATTATCCTTTGAATAATGTACTTGGGGGAGCAGCTGACCTTTTGGGCTGAAGCACACAAAATCTGGTCTTGTAACCATTGCAGAAGTATTAAGTCAATGTTTCAGTGCAGGATACGGTTCTATTTCTGGTAGTGACGCACTGGGTGTCTGAGCTGTGCCGGGGTGGGCTGGTCAATAGTGGGCAATGGAAAGTGCTCGCAGCAACCAGCCCTCTGCTAGTTGTCAGTCCTTTGAATTCATCTGTTGTCTCAGTACTTCCTATGTATTCCCTGTCCCATACAATGTCTTGCACACGTTTATGCTGCTTCCCAATCAGACAAATACATCAAGATATTGATATTGTGGGAAAGATACTCGAGATGCCTGGGGTGAAAGGCAAAGACGCCAGCTCACCCTTTTTCTTCTCACTGTTATAGTGAAGAGGTGTAAATCTTCGATGAGAGATGAAGGCAATTTGAGGCTCCATTAATCCAGCCTTGAGTCCAGGAGTTTGTAAGTGGAAAAGTCAGCTGAAATCTCGAAGAGGCAACTGAGGGGCCCCGACTGCAGGTGTAGAGCAGACAAATGAGCCCTGTGGCTAACTGCTTTGTGCATGGCTCTGCAGAGACTGGAACACAGCACTAGCAGGAACTGTCCCCTGCAGATTTTTAGCCTGCAAGGCTCTCATCTAACCAAACAGGCAGCAGGATTTTTGACACTTGCAGCAAAGATTCAAGCTTCACTTATTTCCCTGATGAATCCCAGCCAAATTGTAGGGTCACCAGTCTGCTCATTTTTTAGGAAAACGCCAAAAGGAACATCCTGGATTTTTCTGCCTCAGAATGCAGGCCACTAAGGTATTTTTTTAACACATAAACTCAGGGCTATACAGACTGAAAAATAGACTCCTGTCTACTCCCATGAAATTCCTGCAGTTTTGATCAGCCGATGTTTAGATACTGAAGTGACAGGGTTTGCCAGGGAGAATTGGAGATGGAAAGAATAGATTTTGTGAGAGAAGTTGGTACATCCATGGGCTGTCATGCTTCGTGTGTGTGCATGAGCACAGTAGTTACATGTACCTTGAATCTCTTTAAAATTTATTCACAAAAATAGATTCTTCATCCTTCTGATTTTCACAGCAGTGTTTGGGAGCTGGCATTGCCCTCGCCCTGGGCATGAAGTAAACTGGCTTGTGACAAAGGGCTGCCCATGGAAAAGAAGGATGTGGACAAGTTCCCGCTCACGAGACAGCTAGACTTAGGCTCGCTATTGTAAAGCATGGGAAGAAATATAACAAAACTTGATATTAATCAGAATATTTCTAGGAACTTTTCCTTTGGCAGTATGTGCGGGACATTGTTTCATTAAGATGGAATTCAAGTTGTCGGAGCTTTTCTGTAATGTGATCTGGAGGATCTTTTTATTTGACCATTGCTTGGGGTTTTCTCGCTCCAAATATAGTTCTAGTCCATGATGAGCTAACTAGAAAGGGAAAATTGAAAATCTTTTGCTGTTTGAGTTGATTAAAATGCAAAAGCTAAGCAAAGCACATCAAAGTAAAATTAAAGTTGAATCTTGCCCCAAAATATGTAATCTTGTAAGCATTTTGAGTCCTTACGCCTTACTTAAAGACAAGCCTTAGTCGAGTATCTGTTTTGTTTTTGTTTTCTGTACTTGATTAACTAGATAGTTTGTCCCCATCAAGCAGATGATTTACTGGAATTCAAGTGACTGCAGAAGAGCAGTAAGTAGCCTCCATAATTGACTTTATATCAGATGGACAGGGGGAATCTTGCTTAGTGCTCTGGGCATAGGAACATCCAGTCCACTCTTCAAGATTGATGATGTTAGACGAATAATGGCCAATCTAGGTGTTACTTTATATCTGAATTGAGTTCTGCAAGCACAGCTCTGTTGTTACCACCACCACAGAGTGCTGCAGATAGACCACAACTGATAGTTCTCAACCTAAATATTTATTCTGCTGTGTGTTGACTCGAATTTTGTCAGTTGTGGCTCTACAGGAGGAAAGCTGTTCCATTTTCATACTTCTATGGTAGGATAAGCTGGACTCCAGGGATCTGGGCTCAGTTTCATGCTGATTGCCCTGAGGGCCTGAGCTCATCTTAGCATCAAGATGTGAAAGGAAGGCAAAATGTCTGTCATCTACCTTAGGTGGCATCAATTGATGTTGCTGCCTGCCCATACCCTTCTGAGATGTGGGCAAGCTTGTCTCTTGCTGAAGTGACCTTCCCATTAAAGCTTTTTCCTAATGCTTACTGAATTTCCTAATGCAAATTTCAAAAAGGGGAAAAAAAATCAACTCCTTGCTATTTGTCCTACCCTGCGTGGACCTGGACACTGGATTTCCTCTCCCTGCCTCTCCCAGCAAGCATCTTTTTACATACTGGAGAACTGTTGCCTTTGCCAGCTCCTTGTGCTCTTGTCTGAACTATCTGAATGACGTTTCAGTCTTCCCTCTTGGGTCCAGTTGTTCTCTTCCAGATTCTCTGCACTTTTATGCTAATTATTTGCTTGTCCTCATTGCAATTAAAAGCCATGAAAATTGCATAATCTCAGTCCTACCTGTGTGTAATATCGCCAAGACTTTTTACTTTTAGTCAGCTTCTATGTTAGGGTTAAAGAAGAAGAAAATCATAGAAAATCATGGCAATAGGAAGATTCCCCCTGCCCCAACAAAAATAAATAAATAAAATAAATTTTTTTAAAAAATCAATAAATTTTTTAAAAAAATCTCTGGGAATCTCCCAGAGAACTATCAGATTTATGTTCTTGTCACTCTACTGAAAAGTTGTTTGGAGCTGTGATGAGTTTGAGGGAAGAACTGGGCCTTACTCCTCCTTATGGGAGCTACGTGGACTGGATGATCTCTAAAGGTCCCTTCCAGCCTTCATGATTGTGTGGTTCTGCAGTCTGTTTGGTATCAAACTTGTTGGTGCTCGTGGGGGAATCCTGCTCCTGTTCCCATAACACCTCATGTGGACACTCTCATGTGGAGCAGCTTCTAGTCTTACAGCATAAGCACTCTGTAAATAGCAGCCTCCGTTTTCACAGTATTATGCAACAGCAATGTTCACTTTCCAAACAACTCTAGTTAGCCTGGCCTTTTGCCATCCCCTGTCAAGTTCTGCTAGTAACAGATTCTCCTTCAGCACCCAAAAGAGGATTTGGGGAAAATCAGCCCTCTTCCTTTTGGCCGTCAGAGCCTCTGCACCTGCAGACTGAGGTCTGGAAGGTTGTTCAATGGCCTCCATGGAGTAGGGAGGTAAATGTGAAGCTCTAGACATGCACAGGAGACCTGCTAGCTCTTGTTAATATAGATCACAACGTGACCCTACTTACCACTAACAGCAGCACTTTCTGTGACTGCTAGTATAATACTACAAAATGCTACAAAAATAGAATTTTGCAGAATACCACAAGAGGTTAAAAGGATACCCTTGGGTTAGCTGTGTTGTGATAGCAACGTGGGGATTTGTTTAAAAACCTCTGGATGAGGAATCTGAGGAGTGGTGAGAGTAGCTTAGAAAACCTAAGATGAAAATTCTGCTTTTCTCTCTGCTAGGCAATGATGGCATGCTGTTACAGGGAGCAGAAGGAAGCCCTAGTTTGCTAACATTAACTGCATGTTTTGAAGGATCACATGTGTTGTGTAGAACTTGGAAAAGTCTGCAGAAGAAAGCAAAGTCACCCCAGCCTTCAAGAAGGGCAAGCAGGAGGACCGAGAGAGCTGCAAACTGGTCTGCATCCCCTCGGTCCCAGGGAAGGTGCTGGAGTATTTAATGCTGGACACTAGACTAGGTGATCCCCACAGGTCCCTTTCAACCTCAGCATCAACCACGGGTTCCTGTCAGCCTCTCAAACACCCTGTTATGTTTGTGGGAGTCCCTGGATCCCGTCTGTGACTTTCCATTTCTTTAGAAGTTGATCTGTTTTCCTGAGCACTTGGTGACCATATTCCTGAACTCTGAGGTAATTTGAAAATCTTGTTTTGAGCCATGTAGTAATAAGAGAACTTGTTTTCTGTTTGTCAAGGTGTGCTGCTAGATCAGGAGGCGTCTTTCCTTGTGTTTGCCAATGACTTGCACAATTCATGTGTGCGAGTACACGTCAGACTGAGCTCTTCACTGGAACTGACCTGTTAATAGTTACATCCAGAGTCCAAATTTACTTGGAGTTGAAGACGGAAAAAAAATGTGGGGGGAAAGGAAAACAGAACAGAGAAAAGAAAGGGGGGGCTGTTTTGTGTTTTGGAGTTTAGGTTCTCAGGGTTGGGCAATTTGTTTGTTTCAGGCAACCATTTGAACAAGTATGGGTGTCTCATGACTAGAGTGTTTGGAATAAATCTGACCTTGTTAGAAAGAGTCTGAGTTTGTGCCCCTTGTTTATATTATACTTCCTCAAAGGTGGGGGAAAAAAAAAAAAGAAGGAATTAACAGTACTTTTATTTTTTAGTTCTGACCGTCCAAGGATTTGCTAGTATGTTGAAGCTTTATTATTATTATTATTATTATTATTATTATTACTATTATTCTAGTCATCTTTGTCTTCTATCTAGGAGGAAGAAAAAATTTACTCTCAAGGTCCTTTGTGGTAACACAGCCCATTTTCATTTTGCTTACGGGAAGTAGATTGAGAGAGGGTAGAAGGTAAATTCAAACTGTAGGATTTTCCTGAGCTATGAGGTAGAACAGCTCTTTGGGAAATGTAAGAACCAATACATTAGTAAAGCTGCCATTATACAAGCGTTAATAAAATAAAATACTCTGTGGGCTTCTGAAAACAAGTATAAAATTAAATTTGTATCAGTGAATCAGCCTAGAAATCACTTTCTGTCTGGAATAATGAAGTGCAGCACGCGTTAGAAGACAACAAGCAAATGAGGGGGAACCCATCATTTTGCCTTGCTCATTTTTACATGGTTCTGGGTCACTGACTTGCTGAAAACGATTGTGGTTGGATAAGCTGCTCCTGAAACTGTTGTTTAAAAGAATAATCTGTCTCACAAATTGACCCACGTTGGCGTTTTGATTCGAAGCCCTTCAGGCTTCTCCCTTCTCGGGGAGCACTTGCATGTGTTGGTTCCACTTGGCCGGTCTCTGCTGCGAGTGAGGGCCTGTCTGTGGGGGTGTGCGTGAGCTGCGCCGGGGCGAACCGAGGCAGCGCCGCGCTGCAGCGCCTGCCTGCTCCTAAAGCCCGCACGGGGCCCGGAGCAGACGTCTGGGCAGAGAGGCTTTTGCATGAGCAGGAACAAGATGATGGTGATGATGATGATGAAGGTTTTTATGGTCTTGGCTGCTCTGCTGAGCGTTTGTGCGAGTCTCCTCGCTCCTTCACCCCCGGGATTCCTCCTTTGAAGACCTCAGAACTTTCTGCTCTAAGTTCCTGCCGTGGCTGGACGTGAGTGTTTGTGAGTGTTACCCACAGACTGTTGGTTTTAGGATTGAATTTCCAGTTCCAAGAATTTCCTTCCAATTTCCATCATCTACACCCGGTTCTTAGCATCACTGACATGGGTGTTTGTGTGTTCTTGGTGATACACAAATGCATTATTTTAGCAAAATGCAGCCTGTAGGCAGGCCTGATTCCCAGACTAGTTTTAGTTCCTACTCCAAAGGAGGTGGCTGTCCAATATTGATTGTGTTTTCTTCTTAATATTTTTTTTTAAATAATAATCTGGTTGCTGATAGAAGAAAGCTCTCCTTGACTAGTGCTGTTAAAATAAAAAAGCTGGGAGAGCAGTAAAATATTTACCAGTTGCCTTCCCTGTTATGAGGCTCCATGAATGTTGGTCCTTTCGGACAAGAACCTGCTCCTTTTGAAATATCCACAGCAGAATTTTCTCAGAAAATAAAACAGATATTTAAGATTTTGTTTATTTTAGATTCCTCATCTAATAAAATATTTTGGGAATTGCCATTTTGAGGAAGGGGAATGTTATCCATGCTTCACGTTATCCATTAAAGCACTCTTGGCAACCAACATAGCTTCACCGGCCGCATGTTGAGTCCAGTCCCCCTGGCTCCATCGGGAGGCCCAGCTTTTTCCTTGAGCACAAGTCAGGAATGTGACTAAGCCACTTCCCAGTCCCGAGCTGTATTTTTTCAGGAAGATGTGACCTTGGGGATGTGGCATATAGATACACCAGAGCACATAAACTGCTATAAAAACTGAATGGCCTTATAATGAAGTATTTGTTGTGCAGTATAGACTTTATACGAAATCCCCAGCTTTTACGGCTTGCTGAATGCAGGCAGTAAAAGGCAGAGCCGGGGTCTGTAGGGTGTAGGAGTTAACTGCAGCAAGGAGGGGGCGGAAGGGGGAATATTTGCAGACTGAATTTCCCAAACTGAGCAGTGAAGCTAGGGGCTTAGCTAGGGATGCTCCCAAAGGACAGGGATTTCCAGATAAAGATCCAGCACTTTCTGGAATGTCAGGCTGGCTTTAGGCACCTCAGGCTGCTGCTTAATGCAAGATGTTTCTGGTGAGTTTTTGCAGTCGCACTGGGGATGCGAGAGGCAGTGATGGATGAGGCACAAGAGCCGATGCTGCCCCGGGCCTTGGCAGGGCTGGCACATGCCGTGCTCGGAGCCGGCGCTCTCTAGGATTCCCGGCTGGAAACACTGCACCCTGCTGCTTTCCGTGCTCCTGGCTGCTGGCTGGCCTTGCCATCTGTGTGCCTCTCCGGAGCGCTGGTGATCCCTGCTGCCGGGTGCCACTGCAGCAGTGACAGTGCTGCTCGGTGCTGCATGGTGCTGGTGAGCGGGGACTTCCCACCGAGCTCCCGAGCCCCCGGCCAAGCAGAGAACTAGGCACCCTGTAATTGCACCCGGGGATCCTCAGCTTGCCCTTGCTCAAAAAGGGAGCTAAGGGTCTTTGTTTTGGCAGTTGCACCTAACAGAAATGCCTGTCACAGACTGAAACAGATTATGAATCATCTTCCAGGTGCTGATCTAAAGCAGCTAGGATGGTAAGTTTAATTTGTCTGTGGTATCATGCTGGGCAAGGCTTTGCAAGTGAAATGGTTAATTTGGTTAGTTTGGCTCTACGCTTAACTGTAGTGCATAGAACCAGCTCATACTCTGTTGCTGACACCTTATAGACACCTTGAGTTTGGTGCTTCCCTTGCTGCGTGTGAGCACAGGTCACTGCAGTGTCGTGGGTCTCTGTTTTGGAGCACTTGCAACGAAAATGAGAACAGAGCTTGTTGCTGAGGACGCCTGRGCGGTCTCTGCCCTTCGGTTTCCTTGCAGGTGTCAGGTTTATTATCATTCTTCCATTATTAGCATGGGCAAAGAGCAGCAGCTCAGTCACAAGTCAGAGTGAAAACTGTCACTGTTTAGACCTGGCTGCAGTGCAAACTGCCAGATTCCTGAGAGTTTGGTTTTTTTTTAATTTAGTTTAAACTCAACCATTTTCCTTTCTGAGGCACGAATCTTTTTTTCTCAAGCACTGTTCCTTTAGCCGGTGTGAAATGCTGTAATGCTTTTGCCTGCAACCTCCATCAGGCTTTTCTCTTATTACTGATGAGGATGCTCATGAACAGGGGTGTTCAAGGCAAAGCCTTGCCCAAGGTGTAATGCACAACAACAAAGATGGAAACAGATGTGTCTTCCTGTCCTTCACAGTAGATTTTGACCCCATTCTCCAGGGTTGTGTTGTTATTTTTTCTGATTTTTTAATTTTTTGTAATCCATCTGATACTTGTCTCTAATTGAGAGTTTTATTGCTTCCCATAGGACACAGATGTATCAGTCAAGCTGCTGCTAAAATTGATGTGGACTTTGATTACGATGGACCTCTAATGAAGACAGAAGTTCCTGGGCCACGATCTAGGGTACGTTTCCAAAGTCTAGAGGTACCTTTTTTTCCTCTAGCTGTGTTTGACTTGGTGCAAAACAAGTCTTATTTCAAACCTTATATTTGATATCTGTAGAAATAAACATAATTTCATGACAGAATATGTCCACTTCTACCAGGATACTGAGAATGAAAAAATAGAAAGGGGACAAACGTTTCTGTCCATCTGTCTTTTTGTTTATTTTCTCTATTTTATGATGTGAAGCAGAGCTTTGGTTTTGAAATGATGCAAAAATACCAGTTTCCTGGACAGTGTTTCACTCAGGCTGTCCAGAGTCCAGAGCTGTTAAGTCAGCTGAGGAAAACTCTACCTGCAGCTCTACCTGCCCCAGGAGCAATTTTTTGACTGTCGTGTTTGCAAGACGCATTATGAAATTTCATGTGGCAAGTAGAGTTTCCTGGAAAGCACAAAGGATTGCAAGTCTTGCATGCAGTTCATGTGGTTATGTAAAATAAACATATATATATTCTTTACTATATGATAAGAACAAACCTGAGGCTCTTTGATCTTTGTTTTTTTAACAGGAATTAATGAAACAACTGAACGGAATTCAGGTAATTTGTCAAATTCTCTTGAACTTGTGCAGGGTGGAGTTGCTCCTTTGATTTCAGATCTAGTTTTACTGGTATATTTAATTTCATACAAAATAAAGGTTGAATAAATGCTATGAGTGTGTATTTGAATAAAATCTTTTATTGTCTATTTTAAGTGCTGCAGAATTATTTTGATAGGATCAATCACTTCTCTTTAACCGCTTAAAATTTATACAGTGTTCGTCATTTTGCATTGTTAGAAAGTGGCATTAAGAACATAGATATATTTAAACTTAAAAGTAGGCCAGTCTAAGTGTGTGTTGCCCTCCCAAGAAGAGCAATTATTTTAGTTTTTGCTTGACTTTATGTAGAAAAAAGTGCACATTTCCATTTAAATTTCCTCAATGAAAAAGCTTTCAGCCTGATGTGAGTCATTTTTTTTGTAATTAATAAACATCATAATGAATTCATTGTACAGCTGAATTCTATTTTAAGATCTGAAACTGTGCAGTTACTGGGGATTGACAGACTTACTTAATTCACCATCATAGACTATGTTTAATTCACATTCATTGTCACAATTGTTCAAAGTAATATATGTTTTTAACTGCCAGATTTTGGAAATGTGCGTTTTTCTGCCTCTTTTTTTACCTTAGGAAAGGTGTCTTTATATTTTATTATTAGATTTTTATGTCAGAATTTTCATTGTATCCTTTAGTTGGGCCTTCCTCCACACTGCAAGGACTGTTTTCAAAAAATATTAATTTCTTTGCATTTTCTTTTGCTTTAAGAATGCCGAAGCTGTACACTTCTTTTGCAATTACGAAGAGAGCCGAGGGAACTACCTAGTAGATGTAGATGGCAATCGCATGCTGGATCTCTACTCTCAGATTTCATCCATCCCAATAGGTAAGAGACAGATGCACCAAGATGTTTGCTTCATTTTCAAGCTGTTGTTTTGTTGTTTTCTTCTCCCAGCTGTTACTAGAGAAATAGCCAACATAATAAATGCCTCCCTGTGGTCAGGTTTTGCTGACCCCCTTGCTGTGTATCCAGTAGTATGCTTCAGTAAGTGGAAAAGCTAGGTGAAAATTCGGTGTTTACAGCTCATAGTGATACCTGGAAGAAGCTATAATATTAATCTTAATTTGAATCTGTCCCCCTTCTCGCCTCCAATCACTAAGCCTTTGTCAAGGCACAGTATTCAAGAAATGAAATGCAAAATGTGTTGGACTGTTACTGAAAATACATTCTAGATGCTGGCAGGTAGGAAGTGGAATTCTCAGAAATATAATACACATCTTCTTGTTAGCTGATAAGGAAAATATAACTTGTAAGTGGATTTAGTATTGGAGAAAAGATGGTAGATAGACTGATGAGAGATAAGTACAGCATAGGTGGCAAAAAAACACAGTTCCTGGTAACATTAGGTTCATCTGTGAATCAAGTTGGGGCTGGATGTTCACTGTCTGCATACTCCATTCCCAGGCACTTCTGCCCAAGCCATGAAAATGGGAGCGCAGTTAGTCCATTATATGGATTCATTCAGAGTGGATTTCAAAAGCCTGTGAATGAATTGCCTGAGAGATGGTTAATCATTGAAGTTAAACTTGTAATCAACTCTAATGAGTCCAGAAGATTAGGTCATTTCTTGGAATAATGCCTAATTTGATTAGAATTGTCTAAAAACCTGACTGCTAATATCTGCACTGCTGTTAGAGGTGCACAGTATGTGACCAAAAGTGGACTAAGATCTGTTAACTCGGGCGAAATACTTATTCCAATCATGCTATGTAGTAGCAGGGGCTTCTAATTTTCCTTTTCTCTGGTTGATAGAAAAAGCTGACACAGATATAAAAGATCCTCAGTGAAGCTAATGTCTTCCTTGGTATATGGCACTGCCTTTGTGAGGAGGAGCTTTTTCCCCTAAAGAACTTGCTCCTCCTCTAGGGACTGTGGTACATGCAGCCACTCAGGGCATGGATCCATAATGTGCAGCAACAAGCACTGACAGGCTAACCTCAGTCTGTGAACATATAGTATATAGTTATAGTATAAAATATATAGTATAAAATCATCTGAAGCTGCAGATGTTGCTAAAAATGTTGTTCTCAGTGGTAAAGTTACATTATAGCTTGGGACACTAGGACAAAATCATGGTGAGAATTCTAGGTGAACTGATGTTTTCAGGTCAAGGAATTGGTCATATATAGTTCTTGTCACAAGGTAATTCAATAAAATGTGTTTTGAATCCGTCAGGACTGCACAAGATGTGATAATGATCTGCTGCACTAGAATTCATTTGTCAGTAGAGGCTGAGAGGTAGCAGTGCCCATGGAGAGAGATAAGGAATGAAGTTTAAAAGACCTTTGGCAAAAATATTCTGGACTTTTCTTGGTGAGAACCCAGAATTGTAGGGAGAATTGTAACATGCTTCTTTTAACCTATATCTAATCATCTAGTAGAATTAAAAAGCCTGTGGAGCCAAAGTGTAACGAGGAAGCTGTTGAGATGTTTGTCTGTATTCCAGCATCTGGAATATGAAACAAATACTTGTTCTTACTGTGTCAGCAATGTCTGTTTTTGTCTCAGGGCTTTCTCTTAATTATTTTAGCAGCTTTCATTTTCCCATTGTGAATGGGGACCTTCCTGAGCCCGGAGGACGTGTACAGCCCTGTCGCATCGGCACAGCAAGGGCGGTGAAGCAGGTGCCCTTCTCCAGAGGCAGCTCTGTCAGATCCTATATGAGTGTGTTGGAGAGAGTGGATTCTCAAAGCTGCAGTGCCCTGCACTGCTCCTGGCAGGGAACAAGGTTCTTTCTGTTGCTGTCTCAGGCTAGAGCTTTTCAGCTTGTTTGCAATAGTTACATAATGGTTATCTAACCTTAGAGTTCCTCCTGCTGTTAATTTTAAGGAAATAAAGCCACCTAACAGTTCAGCATCTTTCTACATGCTGATCTGCTCTTTCAGAAAGAGTCAAACTTCAAGAATTCTGTGTTATTTTACTGGGGTCTGTATGAGGATATACCAGCAGGATGTATTACCAGGGAATATTACCAAGTAGTGGGTAATGTTAGGAAGAGGACCAAGCACCTTGGCATGAAATGAAGCAAAAGAGGTCGTGTCCTGTATGGATGGGAAAAGGCAAGATAGGGGGAGTAGAAGCCTTGAATTTGCATTATATAGGAGAAAATGCAAAAATCTCTGCATATTTTTCGTGTTATCTTAATACCATAAGCACAACTGCACGTTTTGTGCGAGAATTAGTGGTTACGCTTCTTAGGCAATGGGAGTTGTCCATGACAACTTCTGTTGGGCTAAATCTGGTGATTTCTCGGGCACACGTAGGCTCTGAGGGCTCTCAGCGGCGGCCCCTCGCTGTGCCCGTCCCTCTGACCTACCCACAGTTGTTCACTTGACCAGGAGATGCAGGTGGAAGTGTTTGTGCCCAAATAACTGCTTGCATTATCTTCATAATAGTCTTAACAACTTCTCCGCAGCATGGCATGCACAGGAAATGATGTGGAGACTTGGCTTGTTTTGAGCTACATCCTTGAAATGGAATTTGTAATTGATTTGTTACCCTAGTAGCCTAATGCCGCATCGCTCGGGATAAGAGCACTGGTTGTCGTTCAGCTAGAACAAGGAGCTCAGCAGCGTGACGTGCTTTGCAACAAAATTAGAGCTGTCTTTGTTTCTTGAATAGCAGGGAAGAAGTCGTTTCCAGCTGAATCTATAAAGGGATATAAAAGATGATCTTAGTCGCTGGCTTTGGTGTGTCGTACATTAAAACTCAAGTTTAGGATAACATTTCCTAGGTTCCGTTGGTGAGTATGGTGGTTACATTAGATACATTGATCTACCTGTAAATAAGCAAGTCATCTCAGCAGATGTTGATAATGGTGGATTAAGTGGCCTTAGTCATGCTGGAAGCATCCTTAATATCCTAGTGTTTCTAGGTGAAGTGGACAACCCATTGCTAGCTGCTTTTGTATTTGAATTAATTTGTGTAATCATTTGGTAATAGCAAAATCTCCTGGTAATGTGCTCATTCTTGCCGATCCTCCTCAACAGCTAATGAATAATCACAAATAAATCTTAATGGCTGTGAAAAGTGTATTTTGGTCTAATACCTTCAAAGCCAAATTTACACTTTTTTCACAGTATGCTCTTTATTTCCACTCTCTTCCCCAAATTATATTTGCACTCAGCTAGCTGTGCTTTCCAGACTGTTAAATTGCATCTAATTCATCTCTTGATTTATGGGTCTGTAAATTCATGGGGGATCTCATACGTAAAATACTTTAGCCTCAAGATAAGACCTTTGACCAGAGTTTACACATGTTTTTGCGCATGATCCTCTTGGGAAGACAGCAGATACAACAACATTGAGTTCTCCAAAGGAAAACATTAAATACAGACTTTTTAGAGGACAAATCTAATAGCTGTAGATAAAAAAAGAAAAAAAAAAACAAACTTGGATATTAGGAATCAGAATATTTTAGGGTTACATAAGAAAGAGAGAATGATTTTAAAGAAAAGAAAAGGTACAAAAGAAGCAGCAGAGAAGTAACAAATGACAACTCAAAGAGATGGGTTTCATGCTAAGAGAGAAAGCGGTTTTGAAATGGCAACAATTTTGAATCTCTTTGTCTAATCTGGCCTGACACTTGGCAGAGCAGCTGAGAAATGAGAATTGAATTTGATCTCTTAGCTCTCTTTTTCTCTTTCCCCTTTTTTTTTTTTTTTTTTTTTCTCTCAGAAAATTAAAAAGCCTGTGGAGGCAAAGTGTAACGATGGAAGCTGTTGAGATGTTTACCTGTATTCCACCATCTGGAATACAAAGCAAATACTTGTTTTTACCGTGTCAAAACATGGTTTTCTCTCAGAAAGAAAAAAAGAAACCCTTCATGTGGAGGAGACGGGCCCTCGGGAGGTCTGTCCTTTCATTTGGGAGGAAAACGAGCTTACTTTCTTGCCCACGTGCAGGTTTTCTTGGAGCTCTTTCCGCAGGCTGAGCAGCAGCCGTCAGCACTGTGGGCTGTGTGCTCAGTTTGCCACTTGGTAACAGGTAGTGCCTGCTGTAAATACACTCATTTTTAGCACATACTCAGGTTTGAAGAGTTGGCTTGAGGATTTGAATGGATTCCCTTGAGGAATTTGCAATATAGAAAATGATACAAGCCTTTAGGCCTTGATCGTTGAAAAAGATAATCCAACGTCAAACCTCGATGAAAGCTGTTATTAAAATAGCAATTTCTGAAGCAGCCCAATGCATAGAGGCCGTGTCTTTTCATTAGAATTTTATTGCTGGCAATTTAGAGAAGATTTTGTCTTCGAGTTGTTGTTCTCGGATATAAAATCATTAATTGGGTTTCAAATAAATGGTGTGTTGTTTGTGCTTCTAACTGCTCCCTCTATGATGACCGTGTAGCCTGTGCTTAAGCACCAGGCACCAGCCGTTCCTTTCATTCGCATTGCAGTGGTGCTTCTAACAAACTCCAGAATGCAAATTAAATCAAATTAAATCAGGTTTACAGACTTCATAATATTTCTGACTGCACTGGAGATGCCCACAAATAGTATTTCTTAAGGGTTTTTTTTTGATTTTTGTTTTCAGGCACGTGCTGAAGTTGAACCTAATAGTTGCACCCAACTAGCTGTTGTTCCTAACACGTAACCCTCATTTTTCCATGAAACTTCACAGGATTTGATCCTGCTGGAGCATTATTAGGAAAGGTGAAAACTAAAGACCCGTTGAGAAGGTGCCAACAGCTTTGTGCTGGTTTTGCTTGCTACTGCTCAGAAAGATTAACCTGTGCTGTCCGGCTATATCTGTTGAAGAACCAAAAGACCTAACTGTTATTTTTTTTCCTAATTTTGTGCCAATACATTGTAATGCATTGAAATTAGATTAGCTAAATGAGTTTCTTAGGGAAAACAGTACACATACATTTTTTTGTCCCTTTCCTATGACTGCCAAAGCCCAGGGAACTGCATGAGCTAAGAAAGGGAGTAAATCTTTCTAAATTGATTTTACAATGAGGAAAATCCAAACAGTTAGAAATCACTGTGGAGCAAAAATCTCTGTTACTGTGCTAGGAATGAACTGGCTGATACTCCAGGAGGGTAGAAGATAATCAGGAGACTAGAAGTGTAGGCAACACAGGCAGAAAGTTATTTTATCTTTATTAGAGAAATGAGAGAAATGTGTATGTTGTGCAGAAGAGAAATCAAACACTTCTACATGGAAAACCTAGAGTGAAGAGCAGGCAAATTTTCATTTCAGACCCACCGTACTCAGTATTAACGGTGCTGTTTCAGTGAGGTTCAAGCAGGCAAAAGATTTCTGTCATGTTCATCTTGTTTTGGTGTTTCGTTTTTAAAATGTTTTGCTATTGCCAGACACTAAATTTCCTGCAAAGTCAAAGATAGCAATATGTTTTATGAAGAGGGTTGTCCTGCTTTGCAAGGAGGTCACTTATTAATACTTAAGACATGTTTAAGTTAAAAAGAAATTGAGTTAAACATCTGAATAAGGTTATCTCTACATTGAGAATGTTATTGAAAACACAGAAATGATTTGGATTTGTTTTTTTTTTTTTTAATTAGGTTACAGCCATCCTTCTCTGATAAAGCTTCTACAGCAGCCGCAGAACTTGGTAAGTGATTCACAACTTGAAGCATTTGCAAGAATCCCCTCCCTCCTTGTGGTTATCTTTTTTTTTTTCTCTTAAATTGATAAAATGACTTGAGGAATCAGTTTGAACCATGATAGGATCTGCTGTCTTTATTTCTCAATAGATGATAAAAGCTTGGTAGTGCTTAGAAAACATTTAAAAAACCTATGAAGACCTTCAAGAAGTAAAAATGTGGGTGACAGAAACACTTTATATATATGCAGCCAGTTTTAAATCATGCTTCCTTCAAGCATAGTTTTTCCAATTAATTATTCTAGCTGTGTTCTCAAATAAAGATGCTTGAGTCTTAAAGCAAGTCTGTGTTTTGTTGGCATCTAACACAAGTCCTTGAGAGAGGATGTAGTGTTCAGAATATGAAAATAGTCATTTAAATCCAGAATGCTGTAAATTTCACTTGCAGGGACTTACTTTGTTTTAGTGGCTCGTTCACATTTACGTAAGTACTGATGGTGCTAACAAATCCACTGTCATGTCCTTGAAAAATTAGAATAATTAGACCAGGGCAAGGTGATTATTTCAGAACAAAAGTTACAACTTAGTGAATGCTTAAATAAAGTATCTGCCTATTTTCTGTAATAGTCTACTAATAATCATTGGAAACAACCTGATTGAAATTAAAAATTCTTTTAAAATAAAGCTGTCTTATAATTCACTAGCTTACGTGTATGGTACCTGGATGTATGTGCACAGAGATTTAGCGTGTTTCTTTGGTTTAATACTCTAGGTGACCTCTTTGTAGCCAACTCATAAAACATAGAATATGCATCCATTGCAAAGCAGCCTCTTAGCAGTGTTCTGCTTTTCTCAGAAAAAGTCATTAACAATCACAGAAAATATATATTTTTCTCCTTAATGGCAAATATTGTCAGTTGACTGTGAAAGCCAGTAATCAAAGTCACAACTCCTTGTGCCACGTTTGGACTGTTGTTTGTAAATAAACTGTCTTGATTTCAACATGGTCATGTTCTTCATGTGATAATAAAAATATTTTTTCTTCCTGTGTCTTTCTAGAGCACCTTTATCAACAGACCTGCCCTAGGGATTTTACCTCCAGAGAACTTTGCAGAAAAACTGAAGGAATCTTTGCTCTCAGTAAGTTTAAGATGGGTTGCCATCTTCTTTGATCAGGGACACAGGCATGTCAAGGAGTGGTACAGATTTTAATAGGTCACATTATGGATTTAAACACCCACCTGCCTTCCTCCCTCCTACAGACTGGAAATAGCAAGTCAGAAAGTCAAACCGTTTTCCCCTGACTTGACAGCTGAATGTGATAGGAGCAGACAAGTGCTCTGCCCTTTTGCTCCTGATTCAAGACCTGATGAGAAAACATTTTTTTTCTAACTTCTATTTCTTGTGATTTCTTAAGGAATGCAGTAAGTGCCTTCTGCTGGTCCTGACTGAAATTTGGATATCCTTTGGGCTGAAACTGAGTGAGCATCTCAGCTGCACTTGGGATCTTTTTGTGGTTTTGTTTTCTTTTCAGAACTCACTTGGTCTCCCATTAGTATTGAAGTTGATGATGTTAAAGACCCTTCATTATTATGTTCACCTTCTGCTATGTTTTTTTCTGTCTTTGACAGGTGGCTCCTAAGGGTCTGTCACAGATTGTCACCATGTCCTGTGGATCCTGCTCTAATGAAAATGCTTTTAAAACAATATTTATCTGGTACCGAGTGAGTAAAAATGCTAAAGGATTTTTTATATGTTGGCATGTAGAAATCAGTATTTCTTCATAATCAGATCTGTTAATGTACAACAAAGTAAGTAGTCAGGATGTCGGTCATTTATGACTCAACCTGAGATAAAATCCATTAAAAATTCTTCATCCAAGCTTTTGATTTCTGTAGATACAACTGCAGAAATAAAAAAGGAAGCACAGAAAATGCATATAGCCATGTCACTGCTCCTGTCTCTTCATTCACCATGTGATCACCAGTGGTGACAGTGGGCCTGCTCCTCTGCTAAATGCTGCTCCTGGTAATTCACAGATGGGCAGGAGAGGAGGGCCTCTCTGCCAGCTCACCCCTGTGCTGCAGCAGAAAGAGAACTGCCCCTCAGGGAGTTAGTTCCCAAGATGTAGGTGGTTTTCTTCCAGTTTTAAGTTAAACCATAGCTGATGGCATATGGAGCAAAAAGCCATCTGGAAGGTCCATCCGTGTGGAGAGAGATACGAGATTATGTTTTGTACTTTAGGACAGGTTTGTTAATCAGCCAGAACTGTCAGGGTTTTGTAAACTTTGCTTCTACAAGCTTTGTAAAGGGGTATCTGGAGAGAACCCCCTAAAACTATTTGTGTAATAGGTGACCTTGTTCTGAGTCTCTCTTCCTAACTATCCAATGATCTGCTAGGCAGAGAGACCTTGCTAAAGTGCTGAGGGCAGAGAAACGTTATTTATGTATCTTAAATTAGTTCGTCTTGTGAGATGCAGATTGCAGTCAGCATCTAAAGGCCTAGCACCACATTTTTATTGCCTGCAATTTGGAATATCACCATTGTTAATGCTGGTACTCAGCCACATTCATTCATTGGTCACAGCTGAGGGAAAACTATTTGTTATTTTTTGCAGAGCAAGGAGAGGGGCCATAATAATGTCACAAAAGAAGAACTGGAATCTTGCATGATTAACCAGGTAAGACTTTTAACCACATTTACAGAGGTAGTGCTGACTTGATTTACAAGGGAAACTTGGAGGAAAAAGTGGTTTTCCTATCTTTGAAGTGAAGTCTGAGCTTTGTAAAATTTAGGAAAAGGTTAAATACAAGCTGCTTCCAATACATGTCAAGCTTTGCTCCTCGTATTCTCCTGCATCCTTGCCAGCTGTGAATCTAGGGAAAATCTTTTTCTCATGAAACACATCTACTAGAGTAGGGTCCAGATATAGATATCTCCATGGATAGATCCATAGAGAACACATGCAGAATTTTATAAATACATTAACATTACATTCTTTTATATTTTCCAGAAATTGTGATTTTATAGCTTAAAACTAATCAAAAGATTGGTCAAAATTTGACTGACAATGTTAACAATGTCATCCTAAAGGATCAGAAAATTAAGATGCAGGTGAGAAGCCTCTAAAAGCCCTATTCCGCTTTGACCAAAGCAGTCTTGCTCTTGCCAGTGACAAAACTTGATATGCAGCAGTATTCAATCTCCTTTATGCGAAAAATATCTTAGAAATGAATAACCTGCTGGTTCTAGCCTGATCTTTGGCACTTGTGTAGTGACACAGTGTGCAGTTCATTCACACAGTGCGTTAGGGCACTCAGATGGTTTTAAAAATGTGAAGGATGTTTTAGTTGGTTGTTTTGGGTTGCTTTTTCTTAATTTTTAGAAAGAAAAAAATTGCTCAGGCTGATCAGTTCTTTCATCTTGCACTCAGCATGGTTGTGCACGGGCACGTGCTAATACAAGTAAAAGGCTGGCACATCATGACCTGAAAGAACAGGAATTTTATAAGCTGACAACAGCAGCAAAGACTTCTGTAAACTGATAATCGCTTTTTATCCAAGCTTAGCTGTCTAGACATTAAGTTTCTAGTGTGAGATAATTGAGTATTCGTTATAACTGAGGAGGGAGGGAGGTGATTCTCCCTCTCCAAGAGGAATCCGCCTGCAAATATTGCCGCCATGGGCTTGTACCGCTGGGATGGGTACAAGATGAAAGGGTCTAAACAGCGTGTAAATGGTGAAAATATGCGGCAGGATTTGAGCAGTGAGAAATGTCGTTGTTTACGTGGGTGAAGAGAGCACTTTGGAGCGCGGTCTGGTTGGTGTGGGAGGCGCTTTCCGCGCGGACGGGAGCGGGCGGCCGTGCGTCGCGCCATGGCGGCGGCGCGGCCTGCGGCCCTGCCCTCACACTCTGCTCTGCTTCCAGGCCCCCGGCTGCCCCGACTACACCATGCTCTCCTTCATGGGCGGCTTCCACGGACGCACCATGGGTAAGGCGAGCTCTGGCAGGGACACTTGCCTTTCTCGGCTGGTGTTAGCCCCTGCAGTAGCCATCACCTCATGCAGCTTCAGCAAAGTTGGGCTCGGCTTAGTTAGTAGCAGGGAAAGCTATAGATTTGTGGAAACTTGGCCTTAGCAGCTCTGTCAGCCCTGAAACACACTGCTTATTTTGAGAGATGCTTGATTTACTTTTGCATCTTTTGGGCACCAGTCTCTACAAGACCCCTTATTTTCATTCTGGATCCAGGGTTTCCTACCTTAGCAGTAAAAATCTAAATCATGAGGTAAAATTAATGTAACATAGAAACCTTGTCACTTGTTTTTAGCTTTTAGGTAGGCTTGATCTCTATTCTGAACATACTACCCAAGTCCAAGCTTTGCACCCAGTTGACTTTAGAAAAATGAAACTTTTCTAGTCTGAATATTGCTCTTCTGTAAAGCAGAGTCACACAGACCCTCTTCGTTTGGGACACTGCTCCACAGAACCTGAGGCTTCAAAGTTAGCGCAGTTCAGTTAGGCTTGACACAGTCCTGTTATTCAGTGTTTCAGAAAACCAAATAAAAACAGCAATGAAGAGAAATCTTCAGTCCTAGTGTCAGGCAGTTTTTCACTTCTTCGTAACTTTCTTCCTGTATTCTTCCTAGTCAGATATTGTTTTAATTCTTGTTTTTCTGGGTTTAGGTTGCTTAGCTACAACTCACTCTAAAGCAATTCACAAATTAGACATCCCATCGCTGGACTGGCCTATTGCTCCATTTCCAAGGTTAAAGTATCCCTTGGAAGACTTTGTGAAAGAGAATCAACAGGAAGAAGCCCGTTGTTTAGAAGAGGTAAAAAATTCCCTGGCAGTCTTCACTTGATTTCTTTTTGAAATAATGAATAGCATTAGCAGGGTTAGCTGCTTTTCACTTAAAGAGTGTTTTCAGGGATTGGAACAGCATGTGATTAAAAACAGCATTCACTGCTGTTTACAGGGAGAAGTTTGTCCCTGCCTTTAGAAAGAGTGGTCAGCCTACTTGCGACTATCAGAAGTCTATATAAATCATACCAGAGTGAAATCTCACATGCAGGAGTAGTGTTTTTATATCACAGTGAACTCATCTGCCACATCTTGGAGGAGAATGCAAACTAAGACAAATCCCAGTGTGTGCAATCACCTGCAAACAGAACCTGTAACACCTTTTTTCACCTTTCCTAAAAGATAAGGCTTCTAGGCTAGTCTAGACTTCTAAAGTCTGATCCTACAGGTACAGCAGGCAAGTGGGTAGCTGAAAATGAGTGTTGTGGGGACTCTGTGCCCTTCCTAGCCCAGAGGAAAGGAGGGCTGAGCGGAACAGAGTTTAACCCAAGCTGTGTGCGGGTACCAGAACGGGAGGATATGTGCCTAGGCAGGTGGTGGGCCCTCAAAGCTGGAGGTGGCATTTCAAGCACAAATAGCATTACTAATCTCAGCAACTGGCACTACAGGGTTTCTTAAAATTTCTCTTGAAGTCCTCAGCAGCAACCAGATTTCTGTACTGATTCATCTGATTAAAATGTCTGCAGTGGGTGACTAGGAAAAGCAAACCTGCCAGATTGCCTTCTTAATACATTAGATGAGCTTTGTGTTCTGACACAATATACCTCCATAGTCCCCATGACATAGTCAGCTGGAATATGATAGATCTTCCAAACTAAGGTTAATTTATATTAGTGTGTGAGCCAAACTGTTTTCTAGTTACAGTGTTTCTCAATATGTTTCAAAGTTTAGGACAAACAAGAGGACAGTGATAAATCCTGGAGCAGCTGCTTTATTCCTTGAGGCTCCCGATGCCTTCATAGCCAGGAATGGCTTTGCTTCAAGAAAGTTGCAATTCTGGTGTTGAGGTCTGATCTTTCTGGGAAGAAATGTGCTTGTGTCCTGAAAGGAAAATGTAACAGAAGTGTTTGATCTTTTTTAGGTTGAAGATCTAATCGTGAAGTACAGGAAAAAGAAGAAGATTGTGGCTGGAATCATCGTGGAGCCAATACAGTCAGAGGGTGGGGACAACCACGCTTCCGACGACTTCTTCAGGAAGTTACGGGATATTGCCAGGAAGGTAACGAGCACCTCGCTGTCACGCAGTGGTAGCAGAGCACGCGTGGATTTGCTCCTGGGTCTGCAGGACTCTCTTCCTGCCCATCCCCAAGCAATTTTAGAGCTTTCTCCCTCTTTTAGGGAGAAAGAGAGAGCTTCTCTCTCTTTTAGGCCTCCTCAGTATCTGCTAGGATAGTTACATAGACATACTCAGGTACATGCAGTCCCTATAGCCAGCACAGTATTTTTGCTTCTATTTGTTGCACTCTCAGTGGTTTCCTTAGTCAAACACATTTTATTCTAGATCAAAGAAACTAGTCTGACCCATTAACTGTGGGTTTCACGGTACTGCTGTTTAAATGGTAGTGCTGATTTTCTGAGTGATTCCAAGCAGTACCAGAAGAGGTAGATAGGGATAACGTTTTTGTTGAAATACTTGTTTCAAATGGCCAAAAGAGTTGAAATGGAAACAAAGCTGATCCCACATGTAAGCGCTGATGTTGCAGTAAGCCAGTGAAAGCAAGGCAGGTATCTCGATACTTTACATGTCAAGTGACCTGTTCAGAAGTGATGGCCCTCAGGAAGATCTCCTTCATGCTTCTTCCCCCCCACCAAACATTTGTGGGAGAATCTCATGTGTGCTTGTAAAGAAGAGCATAGGTGATGTTTGAACACAGGAACATGAGGGTCTTAATGCTCTGCTTCTGTCTGAGGGTTTGAAAGTCGCACCCAGACTCCTAGAAGTTTTTGGGCATCCTCTAGAGGTGCTTACAGCTGGACTAGATAAAAACATATATTGCATTTGTGGACTTAAGCAGAGATGTTTCTGGTGCCATTCTTGTAAACTGCCAAATTTCTGACTGAAATTTAATGCAAAATGAGCTAAAAGCCCCATTAGGAAATCTGTGGGCAGTGGTTTTGAGTGATTTGGGAGGGGTGAAGGCAGAGGAAGGGATGAATGGCCCCTACTTGGGTTGTGTTTGTCCCTTGGAAGTAGGGACTCACGTTCCCTGCACTGTGACTCTCTCCATAGCACGGCTGCGCGTTCCTCGTGGATGAAGTGCAGACAGGAGGCGGCTGCACAGGAAAATTCTGGGCACATGAACACTGGGGCCTGGATGATCCAGCTGATGTGGTAACGTTTAGTAAGAAGATGATGACAGGAGGATTTTTCCACAAAGAGGAGTTCAGGCCAAATGCTGTAAGTATTTGCAATTACATGGCTCATTCTCGAGTAACTGCAATGTACTGCTGTAACTTTAGTCCAGTCTCTCTCAGTCACAAGGTTGCAAGACTGGTGGGAGAGATGGAGAACAGAGATGACTGAACGTTTCCATATATAACCTTATCTAATAAGCTACTCTTCAGTACCAAATCTGGCCACAAATTGACACCTTTTTGGGGCAGGGAGACTTGGTATCTTCAGAGCTGGCATGTAAGCACATTCTGTCAGCAAGGTTTCTTCTTGATCTCAGTAGCATCATTTTAGATGTAATACATTAAAAAAAAATGGGGGGAGATAAGGCTTGAATGCAAAACCTGTAGAGATGATGCTGATTCCCTATTGTCTATCACAGTGTTTCAATAAGATGCCAGTTGCAAAAGAAAATACATTAAATTGCTTGTGCTGAGGGAGGCAGGCAGTGTCTTTTGCTTTTACAACAGCAGCAACAATAAAAAAGGCATTGGGGAGATGAGCAAGGTTTTTGATCCACCAGGTGGTTGTATTACTAGTTCGGTGACTTGCTCTTCTACGAGGAGAGCGCTGTGGTGATGGGCCTGTTAACACCCAACTCTCTCTCCACTCCTTCCTAAGCCATACCGGATTTTTAACACCTGGCTTGGAGATCCATCCAAGAACCTTATGCTTGCTGAAGTTATTAAGGTTATTAAAAACGAAGACCTTCTCGGCAATGCAGCCCACGCAGGAAAAGTGCTGCTGACCGGGCTGCTGGATTTACAGGTAAACGTTTGGAAGGCTTACAGTCTGTTTAAAGGAGAAAAGTGGATTAGGAACAATTTACTGATCATAACTTACTGGTTTAGATTCTTCAGTGCAAGGCTGAATAAATGTGTCCTGTTTTGAATTGAAGTAAACTGTCTGTTACTGACTTACGAATGCTGATTTTATACAGTTTTTATATAATGCTGCTTTCTAGAATGTTTTATACTTTCTTGAATAAATATATACTGTTACTTCTATCCAAACCAAACTTACACTATCCAAACCAAGATGGCTATTCTTGAATAAAACAAGAGGACTGTAATTCACTTAGTAGTAGCTCAAAGATTTGAGCTGAGTAGCTCAGAGATTCTCTTTGACCCCACTGAGGGGGTTCAAATTCAGTCCCGCTTCCTGCCTCAGGAGTTCAGCTCCTTTGTGAAGAGATGACGTGTCTCTCTACAGCCACTGAAGTCCAGACTGTTGTCAGAAGGGGGTGAACAGGAGCCGAGGTTGTCAGGAATGGGGCCGTGCAGAGGTTTCGCTCACCAGAACTGGGAGGAAGGAGCTTTCCCACGTGGCAGGATGGGTGGGCAGAGCTGCCCGCCTGGTGCCTCTGCCTCAGCAGCTGCCGCGTGGCTCCTGACGCCCCGTCTCGTTGCAGGCTCGGTACCCCCACCTCATCAGCAGGGCGAGAGGGAGAGGAACCTTCTGCTCATTTGACACTCCAAACGATGCAACTAGAAACAAATTAATTACAATAGCCAGAAACAAAGGTAAGAAAGTCTGTGTGTGAAGTAACTTCAACAGCTAAACAGATGGAGCCATAATGCTTTACCTTTTCCTTTTCTACATGGCCTTTGTGCACTGTAGAAGCCAGTCATGAACAAGACTGTGAATAGATTTTTCTGAAAATACTGTTATTTTCATAAACAGACAGGCACACGCAATGTCCACTGGAAGAGACCATGCAGGACGCACATTATTTCTGACATCTCTCATGTTCCTCTGGGGTGAATGACTAAAGCAGCTCTTCTTGTCCTAGGTGTGGTGCTGGGAGGCTGCGGTGACAGATCGATTCGGTTCCGCCCGACGCTGATCTTCAAGGACCATCACGCACATCTCTTTCTGAACATTTTCAGTGACATCTTAGCAAACTTCAAGTAAAAAGCAGCTCCCTTGCATTGACCAGCTCAGATTACGAGATTAGTTTGCATTAATTCATGTCTCTCCACTTTACAAGATAAGTGTGAAGTCATAATCCGAGGTCTGTGTTCTGTCTGTAGCCCTGCCCAAGGCGAGCAGCTCCAGGCACACGGGTCGCAGGCAGAGCCCTGGTCCTGGTCACCAGCAGCTGTCCTGCACCCTGCCCTTGTCGAAGCCGTGGCCCCCATCTTCAGCTTGGGTCACGAGAATTGCGGAGCCCTCCCTACATTCTGGCCCCGACTCTTGGATAGTCTGAATACGACCTAGTCCAGTCTATGTTTTCACAGAAGATCACAGTAGCTTTAGGCATATCCAGAAGCAGCAACAAACCTGCAAGTGTGGCACGGAGTTAGGGCCTGTGCCTGCCGCACAGAAAGTGCCACTCGCTGACGGTAGCTGGGATAAGATGGGTGTTCGAGGAAAGCTCTGCTTTCTGCCACTGCCTGGTACAGTATTTTACTGCGTAATTGCCAGCTTTATTCCCCTGAATGCAGAAGTCTGTCACAGCCAGCTGGATGCCACCAAGTGCTGTGCCCAGCCCTCAGCCTGCACGTAATGCTGCAGAGACGTCAGTGCCCTCAACCCACACGCAGCGGTGTAGGTGTAGGCGGGACAGGAGTACTGATACTTCCTTCCTCATCCCTGTTGATACTTGGTTCTTCGTCCCGGATTTTAAACCTTTTGGCTTGTCTCTTACAATCAAACTGGTTCGGAGACAGTTATATGCAGAAGTATATTGTTTACTGAAGCTTAGACTATCACGTGAAGCACGTGCTTCCATCTCCATCAGCAGTCTCAAGGGGTCTGAGACTGTTTTACTTTTTGTCCATAATGCACCATAATAGCCATTCGTGTAGATACTACGAGTTCTACACAAATACCTTAAGGTATTTTGTGAAGCTGCAGCAGAACTGAATTGCTTTATCTCAGTCATTGCCCGCTATCAGAGCCGCTGCGGTCAGTGCTGGAATGCAGATTATTTCTTTTGCGTTAGTAGTTTATTCCAAGGCAAACACAGTGCTTCAGGGGGCTCCTAGAAAGCCACTGTATCAAAAAGTGTCAACAATTAATTAATCTGTTCATCTTCAGATAATTGTTTTGGATACTCCTTTGATACTTAACTCTTTGCTGCTGGCTTAAGGCTGACTTGAACTGTGCCTGGTGCCTTTTTTTTTTTTTTTTCCTTAGCTGACAGCATCTCAATTTTGATTATGTTATGCACCAGCAAGGACCACCTCTGACTTTATGGCCCTATCAGCATTTTAACCACATTTTTTTAAGTATGTGACAATATATGAGGCAGTTAAGGGATTTATAAATCTTTCTTAAAGCTACCAAATTTTGCAAGGTTTCTTACCTGCTTTAAGTGTTAGTTATGGTTGTTCCCCTATAGTTTTTGAGTACAGGTATACAGCAACTCAAGAAATGTCCCTTCTGCTAGCTTAAAAATAATGGGATTTCTGTAATACTCCCTACAGAGCCCAGACTTGTGGTGCCTGCTGGCCAGAATCTGAGCAGGTTTTTGAACAAATACTGTGGAAATCTTGGGATTTCCAGAGAGGATTGGTGAACAGGTGGTCAAGGGAACCTCATTGCCATCGCTGTCCTAGTGAGCACATTGTCATCAGGAGGAAAGTCAAACGGAGAATATCTCCCACCTCCTTTTGGAAACTAGTTTGTCCAACATATCAGTGCAGTAGTTTTAGTAAACGTCTCTAGCAAGTCTTGTACTTTTACAGAAACAAAGGTCCAGTAATTTGAAGTCTTACCACATCTTCACTTTTATTATGAATAATCTAGGTGTTTTTATAATTCTTACTGACACTCAGTAACTGTATAATTGTGTACAACATGTTGATGAAGTCATGTTAGAGAACACATAAAGCACTGCAGCTGAAGCATCATAAAGTTAATATTGTTTACAGCGTACTGTGGACAGTGCCAAATAAGTGTTTCCACAAATACTTATCTACACTTCATGGTGTAACTTGTAATTCTGTACACGGATCCATAAAATAACATCTCTTGTGTAATCAATATTCTTAAATAAAATATTTATAAATGAACTTCTCAGCCTTTTATTTTACACTGAGTGCATAGTAAATATACTGTAATGGAGATGAGTATCCTGAATGTATAGTGTATATGCAGCCCACCTTGGTCAGCTGGCATCTTGCTGGTCTCGTGGCCAAGACAAGAGTTTCTTTTTTTTCTCTTGATAGAGCAGCACAGCAATATCACTCAAAATGTAAAATAACTTGGATGTCATTATGAAAAGTTCAGCACTCATAAATATGAAATCACAGTCGCACATTTTCATGGCAGTTTTACTCATCCACCATCTACTGCTCCACCCCACCAAGAGACAGAGGTTCCAGTGGACCTGGGGCAGAAACAGGGAAAAAGAACATGCCAAATATCCTTGTTTCCGCAGATTACGTTTATTTGTAATTACTTGAAATGAAGGGAGGGCTGGAGGAGCAGTGCAGGCTGGAAACTTGTACTTAGCTTACTTAGTTCCCTGTACACAGCAGCTAAAMGCAGCACAACCTGAGCATGTGCAATAAGGAGCATTTACCTGCCAGGCTGCAGAAGATGACGATTGGGTTACAAAGCGCACGGGGAAGGAACCAGACCCTGTCTGTGTATTTTTTTCTCTCCCAGGTGAGCAGGAAACCAGTTTCTGTGAGAAGCTCCCGAAACGCTGCCCCAGCCTCTGCCCCAGCCTACGCTGCAGCGTGCGCCCCCGCGGTGCAGGGTCGATCCTCCTGCCAGCACGAGCACTCACGAGAGGCTGCTCAAAACGGTCTCTCTGGTGCTGGTTTTATCTGCTAGAAAAACTGCCACAGCGTTATACATCTGCACTTGCTGTATCCAGGCAGGGGATCCTGCCTGCACCTTAGCTCATCCGCACCCTTAACTCATTTTTTATCACTTCTACTTTCACTTACCAYAAGACTTGGCATGGGAGAACCGAGGAATTGCGCCAGCTCCACACAGCCATTAAACTTCTTGGGAAAATAAGCACCGTACAAAAGCCGCAACCGCTTGGAATTAGCTGCTACATCACTCCAGTTCTCCAAATATCCGAGCAAACCGCTCTCTGTCCACAATCTGCCCGTACTTGAGGGTGAAATACAGCACGTCCGCGCTGTCGTAGCGCCTGAACTGGAGCAGCGGCTCCCGCCTGCTGTCCCCGACCTCGTCCAGCGTCATGACGCTCTGCAGCGGGAACACGACGTCCCGCCGCTGTCCCCAGAAGGTCAGGTGGGCCACCTTGACGCTGCGGCCGCTCTCGCTGAGGTAGATGAAGCCGATGATGCGTCGGAAGTAGTAGCTCATGCCGTAGAGCATGGCGCCCGCGAGGGCCGCGACGCCGCCCGCGTAGAGCAGCGCGGCCGCCGACACCTGCCCGGTCGCGTGCAGGTAGCAGACGGGCGGCAGGGCGGCCGCCGTCAGGGCCGTCTGCAGCAGCTTCAGCCTCGACAGCGCCCGGCAGTAGCGGATGCCCGGGAAGCGGTAGACGAGGCGGAACCGCTCGGGCGCCTCGGCCGCGGGCTGCGCGCGGGGCTCCGCGCTCAGGCGCCGCCGCGGCCCGCCC